TTATGCATGAGAAAAGATTATCAGAGTTTTCCCCCTTTCCTCTTTTAGCTTATTAAAAATGTAACTCCTTCAAGAGTAATAAATTAACTCGGAAAGGATTACTTAAGTGAGACACAGGTTGTGATTAAAGGAAGTTTGGAGTTCAGGAGAAGTCTGTGTTTGAAAAACGTCCTCAGTGTTTGGAGTATTGCATATAGCTTTTGACAACTAATTTGGGAGAAGAGTGGTAGGGAATGAACCTCAACAGGAAAAGCTCTTGTTTTTTGTCACTTTGTGACATTACTGAAACACCGTTTCCCCTCATTTGTATTTCCCCCCGCCCCATAAGTTTGTGTTAAAATGTATCAAAACAGAGAAAGACTTTGAAAAAGGCAGCAGAACTGTCATAAGGGATGATGCTAGCTTGTTGGGAGGTTATGCTTTATTATGTAAATCCATGTTCGGGGGTATTTTAAAATGCATATCATATGGTTAGAAGCAGCTAATTATCTAGATAAACTATACTGCTTCCAAGTGAAGCGTACAAATCCATAACATAAATGCCAGGGGCACGACTTCTTGCAGATCTGCAACCTACCTGATTGACCAAAACTGCCCCTCATCTGTACCAGTCAGTCTTGCTTCATGGAGCATTGGCCACGAGGCTGCTGGTTCCTGCCAAACCCTGCTGCTCAAATCCACCTTGTCTTGCTGCTCCTGAGAAGAGGTTCCTGCAGTGCTTTCCCTTGGGTAATGCTATAGAGTTGAGTACCCCGAGCTTGAATTCGGCTTGGAGCAGAGGGAAATAAAACTTCAGTCTGCACATAAATCCTTCATTTACTTACATATAAAACCAATGAAACAGTGCAATTTTCCCTTATTTTTCTGTAATTTACAAATGGTTAAAATTATTTTCTTGGCAGAAACATCCATTTCTTAACTGCTTAGTGCCCATGCTGGCAGCACCAGGCTGCAGCAGTGGCTCTGTAAGTACCAGCGCTCACTCTGGAGATACCAAGAGGGGCTGGATGAAGAACTTGTGATGCATAATTTATTCAGTTAATATAGGCCTTTTCTGTGCTTGCAAGAACTCCGGGGAAGGCAGGTGAGCTTGGCTGGGTTTTTTTCATAGTTTGCTGAAATACTTTAAGGAACTGTAGTGTGTTTGCATGCAGTACCTGTATGTCAGCAGCTTGTTAAGAAATGTGTTTTAATGTTGGCAGTTCAGATGTGGAGTTCTCGTGGCCTGCCCGGACAGGTGCTCGGACAGGTGCCATGCACCTCTTGGGCTCTGGCACCTGCAAAGGGCAAATGTTGGCAAAGAACTTCTAGTGAGTGCCGAGACACTTGTCTAACATCCACCGTTCAGCTGGCTCTATTTCGCCTGAATGTGCCTGAAATCTGCACCACCTCACGCGTCTGAAATAAAATCATAGCGTCGGGGGTTGGTAGTCATTAGAGATCTGCGAACGCGGGTGAAAAATGGCATGCAGCGTGGCCGTGCGCTGACCGGGGCACCGGCCTGCCGCTCCAGGGGCCGGGCCGGGCGAGGGCACCGCCGCTCCCCTCCGCAAACTTCCCGGGGCACAAAGTTTGCCGGCAGTTCCGCGCCGCCCGCGGGGAGGGTGACAGGGCGCAGCGCGGGGGGCGCGCCCTCCCCGCCGCCCCCTCCCCTCCCCTCTGCGGCGCGGCGCGGCCCCGCCCCGCCAGCGGCCCCGCACCGGGCGGCCGCGGCCGCAGCGCCCCCGCCGCGGGGGGGGAGCGCAGGGGGCGGCGGCGGGGGCGGCCCCGCGCTGCGCCGCGGCCCGTGCGCGCCGCTCGGCGGCCGCCCCGCCAGCGCTCGGCGGCAGCGGCGGGTGTCCGCATCCCTGCGTCCTCCCGGCGCGCTCCCTCACCTCGGCGGCGATCGCCTCCCGCCCGCCCCCGCCCTCCCCTCCCCCGCACCGCCACACGCACACGCACTCCCGGCGCTGTGTGCGAGGGCGGGCGCCGGGAGACGGGCGGCGAGCAGCGCGCCGGCAGAGGAGACCACCGCGCACACGCACACGCACACACACACACACACTCCCGCCCGCCCTCCCTCTGTGCCTGCTCCCCCTCTGTGCCTGCTCCTTCCTCGCCCCCCGCCGCCTCCCCTGCTCCCCCCTCCTCCTCCTTTCTCTGCAACGAGCTAGAAAGAGAGAGAGGGGGGGAAAAAGCCACTTACAGGTATTTGTTTAGTGGATCGGCGGCTTAATTTATCCCCCCCCGCCCCCCCCCCCCACCTTCCCCACCGCCCCTCGCAGTTTGTTTACAAGTATCAAAGTTGTAATTGAGGAGCTGCCAAGGCACATCTGGATATTTTTCTTCTTCTTCTTCTTTGTGTTAGGGACTGATGTGCAACTAATTAAAGGCAGACAGGCTGGTAGCGTCTGCACACTCAAGCCCCCCCAAATAAAGAGCCTGGTAAGTGACTGGTTTGCTTTCCCCCCTCATCTTTTTCCCCCTTATTCTTCGCGGGTTTTTTTTCTTTTGTTTTTTTTTGTTTTTTGTTTTGTGTGTGTGTGTGGTTTCGGATTTTAGTTGTGGGGTTTTTTTAGAGGGATGGGTTGTTTTTTTGGTTTTTTTTTTTTTAATTCTGGGTTTGTCGGGTGCTCTTTTTTTTCTGTTGTTCTTGTTATCTGGGATCGTAAAAGTAGATTAATGTTAGACTTGGGCAATAAAAGGCGTCGCTGTATTAATTTATTAATTAATCTGCACCCGCCCCTCCTCCTGAATCTTAAATATGACCTTTGATCTCTCTGTCTTTGGCAGAGCAGACATGCAATATTGAACATGTACGGTCACATTTAGCTTAAGCAGGGACAGAATCGCAAAGCCCGGCTAGCAATTTCTATTTATTTATTTCATTCGTGGAAAAGAGGGCGATAGTTAGAGGGGGAGGGAAATCAATAACTGCGTCTCGGGTACCCTTTTCATGCTCCGGAGATGCATCGATTAAACAATAATGACCCGGTTGGTGGGCACCATCATTTTCTCGCTGCTGGTGGCAATAAAGCCTGAGAGGGGATCGCGGGGAGAGAAAAGGTAGCCAGTGAGGGAAGGTTTTGTGGAGAGAAGCCAGTTTAATGCTGGGGGAAATAGGGCAAGAAAATGCATATGACTTCTGGCATAAAGGGCTGAACGCTAACATTTTATTCCTTACCAGATGCGTGGCTTTCGTACACATGGCTGGCAAAACTAGTTTTATTGAGTAGTTGTTATCGAGGACATGCAGCTAGGTTTTCCTTTCTGGAAACGAGAGAGATTGTTTTTTGGTTTTTTGGTTTTTTTTGGTTTTTTTCTGTAAGCAAATCCTTCGCATCCCTCCACAAGACGACGCTTAGCCTAGAGCTTTCCGGGGCAGCCTTTGTATTGCCACTAGACCTCTGAAGGCAGCGAGAGTCTGGGTTTTTCCCTGACGTGGAAACACAGAGGTGGCTCCTGCGAGCTCGGGGTCGTTTTTTTTCTTTTTTTTTTTTTTTTTTTTTTTCCGACGGAAGGGCGGCCGCCAGTCCCCAGTGCAGCCGGGGGTGAGGTTCCTTCTGTAGATTTACGCTCCCTTCATCTGGATTTGTTTACATAAAGCCCGCTTTCAGAGCACGACGTTGGGAGAAGACGAAGTTTTTGCACTCGGTAGGTTGGGCTGCAAACGGTTCATTAATCTAATTATGATCGTAATTACCGTAATGGATAACCATTTTGAACTAAACATACCAGAGTCTGGAAACTAGACGTAGCCCCACGAGTGCCTCACGAGTGAGCGTTTCTGATAGCCCTGCATCAGAAAAGATGCTGGAAATATCTGAACTATTCAGGTAGAGCATCTGGAAAACAAAGAGGCAGTGTTCATAAACTGAGGGCTTTTTAAGTTATGCTTATGTTTTGCTTTAGTTCGCTCAGGCTGCCATAATTTACCTTCTTCATTGCCATGAACTAAAATACTCCCCTTCACCTCCTTGGGGGAGAAAGGGGGCGGTAGGAAATAAAACGGACGCCGTGTCCTTAGCCCCCTCCTAAACTTTCCCAGCCGGGAGCAGAAAGCCATCTTTCCCCGATGGGGGCTAGTTCAGCAGGTACAGGGCTAGTTCAGCAGGTACAGGACGTGCCCTCCCGAGCGTTCCCGGGCTGTCTCTCGGCGAAGCCCCCTGCCCCGCGGCGCCTACGGAGGGGCTGTCCCCGTCTCGGTGTGTGTGTCCCCAGCCCTCCCTGCGCAGCCCCCGGCGGCGGTGACGGGGAATCCTCCCCGAGAGGCTGGGATAAATACTCCGTCGTTAGTACAGCTGCAGGCGCCGGGATCACAAGCTGTGAAATTGCTTAAGTATTTTTTTTTAACCTAGCCCCGTGCCCCCCGCGGCCTGCAGGCAGCCCCCCCGTACCCGGAGGTGGCGGGGGGGTCGGGGAAGCCGGTGCCGCCGCAACCAGCGCCCGGCGGAGCCAGCTGTGCCGGCAGGCAGCTAATGACCGCCGGGCTCAGAAGGACACCGTGGCAGCTGGCGGCTCCCTCCCCCACCTCCTTCTTTTTTCTTTTTTTTTTCTAATTCCTTTTATTTATTTTCCCCCTCGCTCTTTCTCCCTGCCTTTTCATTTTTCCCGGTGCTGGTAGGTGGGCAGCTCCCTGCCCCCGTGTCGTGTCCCCCGCCCCCCAGCTTGTCCCGGGACCGGGTTTGCCCCACCCGGGCGGGCGCTGCGAGCGCTCTGCCCGCGGGCACGGCGAGACGTGTGTCCCCCACCCGCGTGTGCTCCCCCCTCCCCCGGGGTGGCCGTGGGCGGCCGTCAGCGCCCCCCGCGCGCGCACCCCCTCGGAAATGACTTTTTGTGTTTCAGCTGCGGCAGCTCCCGTGAGGATGCCGGAGGAGCGGCTGCCCGGCCGAGCACCGACCGCGGGGATGCGTCCGGAGGAGGAGGATTAAGCGACCCCCCCCCCCCGCCCCGTCCCTCTCCCCCCGGCCCCCAGTCCCCCCCGTCCCGTCCCCTCCCGCCGCCCCCCTGCCCCGGCCACCATGAACACCAACGTGTGCGTGGAGAGCGGCCCTAACCCCGAGGCGCCGGGGCTGCCCAAGGACAGCCACCTGCCCGAGGGGGCCCTCAACAGCCTTGTGGATTACAACTCGGAGATGGAGAGGTACCGCTCCTTCGCCACCTTCTACAAGACCAACGGCGGCGCCTTCCCCCAAGCGGCCAAAATCGCCCGCATCACCACCCCCATCTTCCCCAGCGCGGCCGCCGCCGCCGCCGCCCGCATCGGCATGTCCCCCTGGAACTGCGACACCGCCACGGCCGCCGCCGCCACCGCCATGCTCTGGGGCAGCGGCGGCGGCGGCGGCGCGGCGGGCGGCGCGAGGAAACCCTCCTCCTCCTCCTCCTCCGCCGCCGCCGCCGCCGCCTCCGCGGCCGCCGCCGCCGCCTCCTCGCTGCACGCCGGCAGGGGCGGCATGCACCACCGGAGCGACTCGCAGCGGCTGGGCAAGCCCGGCTGCCCGCCGGCCGAGCAGCCCGCCCTGCCCATGGCCAACGGCAACTTCCTCTCCACCCTCGCCCCCGAGCACTGCCGGCCGCTGGCCGGCGAGTGCATGAACAAGCTCAAGTGCGGCGCCGCCGAAGCCGAGATCATGAACCTCCCCGACCGCGTCGGCACCTTCTCGGCCATCCCGGCGCTGGGCGGCCTCTCCCTTCCCCCCGGGGTCATCGTCATGACGGCCCTGCACTCCCCCGCCGCGGCCTCGGCCGCCGTCACAGACAGCGCCTTCCAGATCGCCAACCTGGCGGACTGCCCGCAGAGCCACGCCTCGGCCTCGCCCGCCTCCGCCCTGGGCGCCGCCGCCGGCGCGGGGGGCGGCGGAGGCGGCGGCGGTGGCGGCGGAGGCGGAGGGGGGGCCGGCGGCACCGGCGGCGGGGCCGGGGCCGGGGCGGGCAACCCCGCCAAGAAGAAGCGGAAACGCTGCGGGGTGTGCGTGCCCTGCAAGCGGCTCATCAACTGTGGAGTCTGCAGCAGTTGCAGGAACCGCAAAACGGGACACCAGATCTGCAAATTTAGGAAATGTGAAGAGCTTAAGAAAAAACCGGGCACTTCGTTAGAGGTCAGAGGAGATGATTTCTTTTTCCCCAGCCTCCCGCCGTCCCTCCTCAACCCCCTGCCCCCGCCCCTCCAGTGCTTCTTGTCTAGCTTCAAGATGCAGCATCCCTTCTCCGAGGCCTCCTTCAGGCTCTGAGGGAGCCCCCGCCGCGGGCGCGGCTCCCCGCGGCGCGGCCCCGCCGCCCGCCCCTCTCCGCCCCGCAGGGAAGAGAAACGCCGCCTCCCGCGGCGCCCCGCCGAGCCGGCCGCTGGCCCCCGGCCCCGGGCCGAGGAGGGACGGCCGGGGGGCGCCGGCCCCCGCCCCGCCAGCTCGTGGCCGTTACGGAACGATGCTAACCTGGTTTACCTGCCGTGCTGTTTCCATAAGACTGCTGGCTCTCTGGTTCCTTTTTGTTTTTCTTCCTATTTTTTTAAAATTTATCTCTCTCCCTGTTTTTTTCTTTCGTTTTTTAGTTAATGGCAATCATGACGATTCGGGGCGGTTTGTAGGAGCGGGGAGGTGGGAAAGGGAAAGTTTTAGCTGAACACCAGGTTTTCGCTGTCAGAAGTTCAGGGAAAGCAATGGCAAGTTCTTCTCCAGGTTGGCTGGTAGCAATGTGTCCCAGACAGACGACGGGCCACGGAGCCCAGTAGTAGGAGAAACGCACCCAAGTGATCTCTTTGGCAATGTCTTTTATGAAATACCCTGCTCGTGGTGTATTAAACACAATGGAAGAATAGCACAGGTATGACTGAACTGATTTCTGGCTGAACTGTATGTACGGTTATTTTTACAACGTTTCCTCGGAAGTGACAATGTATTGTGTTCCCCAAAGCTGTAACAACAGGTTTTCAGATTTGCTAGACGTACGAGAGACAGGCAGATCCCGTGTCGCAGACATTTTGGTTATTGTATTGGGTACGACAGACAATGGGAACCAAAATACACAACCGTGAGGAAAATGGCAATTGGATGGTATCGTTAGGGGAAGGGAACAAGTAAGAGGAAAGACTAGTAATCATACTTAATTCCTTGTCATTATAAAAATTATAGTGTTGCTGGTTCGACACACATCTCAGATGCATCTGAAGGTGTCGAGGATGATGGATTTAGTACAGAGGAGTAGTGTGTGGCGGATGACACCAAGATTTGTAGTCATAAAAATCAGCAACTAAGTGAGAAATTGTAACTTCCCTCTCTCTCTGTGTGTGTGTGTGTGTGCCTGTGTGTGTTTGCATAGCGGTTTATTCCCTTGCTCATTGCTCGCAGGAGCTCTCTCCAAGAAGAGATGGGATGAGGGATTCCAGGGAAAAAGCAACACTTAGAGCCAATTAATTTGTTCTGTGTTAAATAAATTGAGATAATAGTGTTGGTATTGACACTGCCATGGGACAAAAGCAACATTTGGGGGTTCACTGACATTTGGCTGATAGTATTAACTCTTTCCTAACCAGCCTCATCAAAACAACTAATTCCTCCTTGCAAGAATGAGCTGTTCTTGCTGAAAGTTTAATTCATAGCTCTGAATCCTTTTAGCTCTTTTTTTTGTGAATGGTGACCCAGCATTGCTAACACAAAAACCAGGATGGACTTCCCAGGGATAGAAACTAGACTGGGTTTTCAGTTCTTGTTTTTCCCAATAATATGCCTTTGGTTTTGTAGCAAGTTTGCAAAAAGGATCATTAACACCTTGTCTGTTAATACTGAGCATAGCCTAAAAGAGACTCCCTGAACCAGAGGCATGGAGAATTCCCCCTACACTACCCAGCACTGAGAGTGCCTTTGTGTGCCAAGTTCCCTCATTAGGCTTGCAAACCAGGGTGCTGCTGGGATTTAATGTTTGTGATAAATGATAGGTTCTGATGGTTTATCGATTTGTGCAGAAAGTGAGCTATCTCTGGAAGAAACACATTTGTACATTATCAGATCTTCCTATGGGTTTGTGTGCATCTCTGAGCACTTTTCCAGAAGTTCCTTGCCCCTGACAAAGGTGTTTGGTAGTGTTAAAAACTTTTCAGGTGTGCTATGAGAATGCCTCCTGTTAAAATTGTTTAACCACTGTGACTAGTAAAACCGCCACTTGTGTGCTCTCATAACCACCTGCCTTCACTTCTTCTCTTCATTCTCTCTTTCCCCCACTTACTCTCTCCTGTTTGTGCTCCGTCAGATACGTAAACACAAAAGCTCCTCTGCTGCTGTACTGTGACTTGAAGGAAACAGGTCTCTCTTTCCAGCTGTGGAGATGTCAGTAAGGCATCACTTTTCTGCAGGTCATGGCCCATCACAAGGTTTTGTCACAGGATGTGGCTAATTTCTTTACAGAGGTGTAGTTTGTCAGTAGGAGAGGAAGAATAACTTATTTGCATGGTGTTTTCCTTATGCTTTCTTTCTTCTTTATAAAGAATTAAAATTAATAAAGTGACAGAAGGGCTGCCTGCAGCACAGGTGCAGCAGCAGTGCTCTGGCTGTAGGGCCACCAGCTGGAAGGGTGTCAGAGGGTGACAGGGCCCTGCAGCAGTGGTGTTGGTGTTGGGGCTGGGCAAGGGCAGCCTCCCTGCAGAGTGAGTGCCTGGAGTGACTCTTGGCCTGTGCTCCTGGGGAATCCATCACTCTGCGTGGATGGTCCCCTGGCACCTCGGTTGGTACACAGCCATGGGTATGCATCAAGGATTGAGGGGCTCACCTTCCACTACACACTTAGGTGATTTGTGAATTGTGCTCGACAGTGGCTGCAAAATGCAGGGGTGATTTACAGCAGGGGATGGAACCGTGTTTAAAAACAAATGAAAAATTAGAAAAATACCAATAAACCGTGAGCTGGCTGACCCCACAGAAACCATTTCTCTCTTTTTCCTTTAAATCTCTTCTACTGGTGCAATGAAGGCATAGGATATAACTCTCAAAGATAGTATGTGGAGGTGAAGACAGATCACGTGAATGCTTTCCAGTTCCTGACCCTTGCATTTTTCATTGAATGCTTCTCACTCAGCATTTTTTTTTAAAACACTTGAATTATTTTTTCCTATTTTTCTTGTACTGTTTTCACATTAAAAGTGTCCCAATGCTCTAGTATTTTTCATAGAATGTTATTATTACTAGGAAATTTTATGTACAGCAATAATAAATCTATAAAAATCAGATTGACGTCACGTTGCACGCTTCCTACTTGTGTATGTATATTCTGTGTTCATTCAGATTTACAATCAGTTTAAAGAGACATAATCTTTATTTACCCATAGAGACTACTTATTTTCCTCTGATTGGTGCACATGTCTGTAACTTCTGCTGCAGGTTATGAAGGTTAGGTGCCTGGTGGTAGTTCACATCCTTCTCTCTTTTAAGCGAACGCCATTCAGTGCGTGAATCTCAGTTGCCCCAGTGCTCATTTTCATTAGTGTGACAGCAAGTTCAGGCAGAGAGGCTGACTTGTGTTGGCAGGGGCTGAAGGCTCCTGTCAAATGTGAAATATCAGCTGTTTAGGCATGCTGTCATCGTAGTGGGCACCACTTGCTCCCTTTGTAACAGCCCAGCTAATTGATATGTGCGCTATTAAAGTGAGCGTTTGCATACCAACCGGATTGAGTCAATACCAGCCTCCAAATCCGAGGCACTTGGCTGAGCTGTGCTTCAAGCCAGTGGGATTTTGAGATGGCCTTCTCCAGGGATAGGTTGTGATGATTGATTTCAGCAGGAACGGCGTCTGATCCTGAAAGTCTTAACACCATATGGCATTGCCACGGGGGAGAGAGGCTGCGCTGGCAACCTCCGAACCTGCACTTCGTGTTGCGGTAGCGTGTGCAAGCGCTGTTAAGGGAAGACTGCTGAGCTCTGTGGATAGGGGTCAATTAGTAGGGGCCTCAGAGGAAGCAATTTCCCCGCTGTCTATCTGGCTTTAAATTACATGCACAAGTTAAGTGACGGCATGATGGAATTGAGCAGTGGTGAGGGGGAACTGTAAAGTCTGATAAGAAGCAGGCGGCTAACACGATCCAGCGGGCTAACTGGAAGGTGGAAAGAAAGACCACCTTGTAGCTCGTGTTGCTGTTCATCCCTAAACATCAGCAGTGCTGCCCTATGACAGGCTGTCTCTCCTGCCTGCCACTGTCTCGTGGCCCTCCATCTGGCCGAGGCTCCCTGTGTGCATGTGTTAAACACTTTGCAAAAGGGCAAAAAAGCAGTCCTTGTTTCCGGGCGTTTACAGCTGGAGCAAGAACTGCCATCTGCCCCGAGCGCAATTTACATTGGTGTTGGCTGCAAAGCCCTGATCAGCCCTGAGAGCTGTTTTTTCCCCTCTTTCCTCCTTGTTTGTGACCCTGGTGCTCTGCCAGGGTTCTCTTGTTCTTCTGTTCCCAGGCCTGAGCCTAGAGGGAGCGTGCCTGGTGCTGGAACTGGCTGCTAGCACCATAAGAGAGCCCTCACTGGGTGACTGTGATGCTCGTGCTTCCAAGAGATTTTGGCTGGGGCTTCCAACATGATGCATGATCCTGCTGTGACAGTGTGAGCAGGGAGGGGAGGAAGTGAGAGGCAGGGCTAGATCTGACCTTTGTTGGACATTTTGCCATGAGGTTTTGTCACTTTCATTCAGATACTGCATGTCTGGGATAAACATACATTCTATGATGAGTTTTCCTTTTGACCTCTGGAGGTTCTTGGGGCAGCACCAGGCTCCTACTGCCACCTCCAGCAGAGACCAGAGCAGCTACATCTTTGCTCACCAGTCCCTGACCTCTGTTGCTCAGAAATCTCTTTGCTGGGAGTTAATCTTCTGCGTTAGGTTCACATCTTGCAGGGCAGGAATGTGCTGCAGTTGGTGGGAGTCATGGGGTGGAGGAATATGTTTAGAGCCCAGAGGAGACAAACTTTTAGTCTCCTTGCAGTTCTAGCAGATGACTGAGTGCAGATGATTTCCTCTGAAATGTGGTTGGATGATGCCTGGTTTAGTGTTTCATGTATTGTTGTTTCCCTTTCTTCATGCGATACTTGCAAAGCAGAGAAAGTGCCCAAACCCCATGACATTACTGTTC